AAATAATAATTAAAATATATATTCCACAGCCAGCTGCCTTCATATTGACTGATGGGAAGTGCTCCCTGCTCCTGTTCAATCTACAAACACCAAATAATCAATAATTCAAAGTTTTTCCACTTTAACAACCTTATTAGGAAAAATAAATGACTAAATCTGTAGCAGACTGTGGCCATAAGGAATTTAACATTTAGTTTTGCAGCTAAGAGCACTCTACCATAGAAATAAAGATTTAAAGAACAAAATCCCCAAACCCCACTGCTTTGGGCTGTGCCACCTTGCAGCATTTGTGAAAATTGCAGCTCTCAAACAAAGAATGGGCCAAAAAAAAGAGAAAAATTCCAATACCCAGCTTCCAGAGCAGGTCAAAATACAAGTTTTTTCTAAAAAATAATAAACATATAGGCTTAAGGTCTGTTTGTTGCATAATTTTTACAGTATTTCAACAAAACCAAAATCCAAATTCCTGCAGAATCAGAGCTAAGACTTCATGGTGGACGTAGTGAATATTCCAGAAAGCCAAGGTGGATTCTGCCCCTGGGGGAAGAACAGACATGAACCACAACCAAACCCATCTTATGCTCACTTCTCCTTGCTCTTTATCATCTCCTAAGTCTAGAAAATAAATGGATAAGCTGCACAGGAAATAATAAATCAACGAAATCCTGCCAGGAGATGAGCTGATCCTGATCCCAGAGGGACAACTCTAAACCCTGTCCCGGCCCCTCAATTTGATAAAACACACCTGGCAGGAAGGTTGGCCATCAGGGCAGGGCAGGAAGAAACCAACTCTGCCCAAAATCTGCACCCTGACAGAATCCAAGGGGGAAAAGAATCTTGATTCAAGCCAAGATTTCTGGTCCCTCAAGCCCTCCTGACCATGGCAGGCAAAAGAAGAGAATTCTCCACTGGAATTTGGGCTCCTTCCTTCTTGAAGCTCCCTTTCCCTTCTTTTTATCCCCCAAAAATGGGGTGCATATCAAAGACAATGCCAGGAGGTTGGGCTCTGGAAAAGTGCAAAAACCTAGTACAGTAATATTAAAATATAGACATTATTCATCTTTGTATATCTGTCATTAAAAATCTGTTTATTTTTATCTCCACTGCTCTGCAACAGAAATTCCTCACCAAACCTCTCACTCACGAAATCCCCACCTTAAAACATTGATTTCCTTCAAAAGAAATAACCAGGAATAACCAGAATCAAAACATTGATTTCCTTCAAAAGAAATAAACAGGAATAACCAAGAGACCATGAACTAGAAAATAAACAGGAACTAGAAATAAACAGGAATAAGGAGACCATGAACTAGAGCAGCAGCTCTGACTAAGGCAAACAATTCCCAAATTTCACATACCCAGGTACGGACAAAAATATTGGTGGTAAATTCCAGCAGCAAAGAAAAATATTCAGTTTAAAAAGGATAAAAATGCAGTTTAGGAATTAAAGTCACCCACTCCTGAAAAGGCAAAACAAGCAGCATGAACTTAAATAATCTCCCTGCATGCTGTTCCAATGGAAATAACAAATTAATAGCAATTTCTGAGTTTTAGTTTATATAAATAGCATCAGAGCAACTTAACTGCCAGAGGGACCCTGTGGGTACAGAAAAACAGAGGTACAAAACCTATAACCAGAAAAAAAACCAAAGAGTTAAAAAATAAAGTAAAAAAAAATTAAGAGCTGTTCCCTGCTGCTGGCCTCCCTTCAGGGAATTAATGAGGTTGAATCACCAAAAACCTTCAGTTATTAACACAGAATGCAGAAATAATTGTAATTTTTAAGTCTATGTTGTCGTACTGGACTGTCAACAACTAAAGCATTAAAGATTCACTAGCAACTATCAGAAAGTACCCTGATAATAATCCTGACTCAAAAAGGGACAACTGAGTGTTCAATTTATTTAAACTGGAGCAATCCAGTGTCCCTGCCACCAGGACTGGCTACAACTCTGCCACCTTCTTCAGATCACCCCCAAAATTTAAAAAGTATAAATCAAAATAGGGAAAAAATCCCAAATAATTAAATCTCATCAAAGTTGAGTGCAGCGGTGGAGGTGGGAAAAAGGGGGAATAACCTGAATTTTATCTGATAGCTTCTCAAAATGAGGAAGGGACATTTTTTTTTCCCTCTCTCTAAATATCAAACCTAACTCCAAACCAAAATCGCCTCTTTGGCTTAAATGTGACCCAAACCTCAATTCTGCTTTCCCTGAAGTCAGTAAAACATGAACAATCAGTTCCTAAACCCACAAGCATTATAACTTGTGCTTATTCACACCAGAAACTCAGCCCAAGACTTGCAGAATTTGTACCTTGCTGCCAAATTAAACACAAGGCAGCAAAAATGATGTTCTGACTGGCAGAGCTGCTGCAACTCCAGGTGTTATTTTACAAAATAAAGTGGTTTTTTTCCCCTTAAAATGCAAAAGGTTTTGTAATAAAACAACAGAAGCGGAACATTGTGAAATTAGGAATTGAAGACACAAGTCATTCTAGGTCTGGCGCGGTCCATAACAAACCCACTTAAAGAAAAGGGCATTAAAAAATTGTTAAAACTTAATTTTGTAAATAAAACCTTATTTTTGTTTGCAGAGCTGGAGTTTTTGTGAAGAAAAGTGAGGCCAAGGGACAGAGGAGCATTTGTAGGGCATGAGCAGGAGCACCTGACCCAGCACATGATCCAGGGGGACATTCCAGAGCCCAGAGCTCCTTCAGGAACCCAACCTGCAGCAGCAGCTCCTGAGTGCAATTAACATCATTAACAATATGAGGTGATTGCAGACACCTGTAACCCTTTAAAATGCCATTTTTCAACAGAAATTGGAATTAGAAGTGACCACACAGCTTTTTTAACACTCTGGAAAAATGAGATTGTTAAAGGCACATTAACTATGAGCTAATTAAGATCATTAATTAACACAATAATTAAGTAGTACAATATGAACCAATTATACCCTAAAACATTCACCACTACAAAACAACCCTGGTTGTGTAAACAGAAAAAAACCCCAATATCCAGACCCTGAAATTCTGACTTCCTGCCAGCACAGCAATGGTAAATTAATCTTAATTTGGGTAATTAAACCCCCAAATCACCCAGGAACTGAAATACTGCAAACTCCACTTTTAAGCTGTGCAGCACAATCACTTTCACAAATGCAGATTGACCCTTCTTGAATTAGTTTGTGCAAATAAATTCCATGTACACAGAGAGAAAACACACTAAAATAACCCTGGTACCTGTTTTTTAGGCTAAGGCTGGAAATAATCTTTTAAGTGGATTTCACCTTTTTTTTTAGAGGGAAAAAACATAATTTTGCTACACTAATGATCTGATTTCTATCTACTTTTGCTTTTAAACTTCACTCAGTGGATTACAGTGAGGCCTTGGGTAAATTTTAGCTACAAATTTCCACGCCTCGACAGAGTTAAGGATGGCACTACTGAGACAAAATCTGCTCTAGAAACATCCACAGATCCAGAACTACACAACTGCATTTGGAACAAGTTTGCAAGTACAAATATATATGTGAACAGTTCTATAATTACCCACAAAAATGTCAAATTTGACACCAAACACCACATGACATGAAAATCTTCATTTTTGTCCTTCAAATTTTGCTTATATCCCCAACTTAATTCACTTTTAACCCAACAACTGCTCTCCAAAGCTGTTCATTAATATCCTGATACTCAAGAACTTTAATTATTAGTACATGTTAGGAGACTGTGGAACAGTAAGACAGTTGTTAAAGCATTAAAATATTCCTAAATGCCCTAAGATCACAGCTTGGATCAATTATTCTTCACTAGTTTTCACCCTGAACAACCACACTCTGATTGTCTAAGCCACACAATGGAGACTAATTAACAGCAATTAACTATATTAAACCTTCCACACCAAAAAAATAATCAGTGAAAGAGCTTTGGTAACCTAGTACATAATTAGGTTTGTGTAAATATTTTGCAAACATCCCTCTCCCAAAAAAACCCTATATACCACATGTATATTTATATAATAATATACAGAGTTCCTGAGTAAATAACTAAATCTGATTATTCAGAGGATTTGGCAAAATATTTAACTTCTTATTACTAAAATAGATTTTAAAAATAAACATTCAATGAAAACATTAAAATAAATATGGAATGTGTCTGAAAAAAATATAGTACCAAGAACATATATTAGTAACAAATAATAGTTTTTTTTTATGTAAGTGCATACTATGTTATATTGTTACTGGTTTTAACCCCACTGAGGTACCAATGAATCTAATTTCTAATCCTGAGCAAGTTTTCTAACACCTGCTAATGTGCACTTCCATACAGTTCACACTGCAAAGCTACAAAAATCCACTTTTTTAGTGGAAAAATCAAAGTGGGTAATTCTATGGAAAAGCACATCTCATACTGGTTTTGCTGGAAACTGAACTGGCTGCACAAAACCAGCACTGAACACTGATTATTCCTGTCAAACAGAGATAACCTGTCCCAAAAAACATCACCACAGCAGTGTGGATTGCTCCTGACACAGTGATGGGGTGCAAGCTACTCAGTGATCACTTTGGCTCTGGAAAGAACTACATACACATGGTGCAAAAAATAAAAATAAAACAAACCCTGAATGATTACTGAGTACCTTTAAATATCCTAAATTGTCTCATTAGCCAAAAAAAAGAGAATTGAGTTTTTCCAGACTCTGGATGCTCAGGTCCTGGCTGGGCTCAGAGCTTTGGGTAAGCACAGGAGAAAAGCTCAGCTCTTGTTCAGCTCCCCTGAACATTAAATTTCTCAGCAGCAGACACCTGAAATTTTCAACTGCATCAACACCACCACAAGCTGTGTTTGTCCACACCAGAATCACAGCACCACAACTGCAGCACTGACCAGGCACCTTAACTAACCCTTTTTTTTAATGAACCCCTCCTGACATCCTGTGACATCCATCTCTGGGCGGTTCTGGGCAGGACCCGAGCCCTTCCCTCCCCATCCTCGGCTTTCCATTTATTATCGCCGATTATTCCAAAATCTTCCTCTCTTCCTCAGCTTTTCCACTTCCCCTGCTTTCCTGCTCCAGGCTGCTTTTTTCCTGGCTGCTTGTGCTTGAAGAACGAAGCTCTGGCAGGAGGAGTTGTTGGTCGTCAGGTGCAGCAGGAGGGGGTTTGGGCAGGGTCAGCTGCAGCGCGCACCAGAGCGCGGTGCGAGTTGCGCGTGTGGCTCCAGCCAGGGCTCGCAGGGCAGCTGCCAGGGCCAGCACACCTGCAACACAGGGAAAACTCATCAGGGGACAAGCCTGGAAACGTTATTACCAGCTTTTGGTTTCTATGATGGGATCTTTGGTGTCAAGATGACCCCGAGGTGTTGGAAAGTCTCTTTTTCCCAGGTCCGAGATCAAAGAAGAAGACTGAATTCCTTGGCTGTCATTCTCAAGGTTGTTTATTCTCTGTTATCTAGAAAATTCTTTCTCTGACCTGCTGAGATCTGTCTGGCAGGTTGGTTCATGGCACACTGACCACCTTCAGGGTGGTGTTTACTTTGTTTACAATAATTTTCCAATACCTATCACCTATGTTAGACAGTCTGTCTCTACTCTAACCAATCCAAAAGTGCCAACATCACAGCAGAAGATGGAGGGCAAGAAGAAGAAGGAGAAAGACAGGATTCCTCCATCTTGCCTCTTGAACCCCCATTCTAAAAAACCCCAAAATTCTACCTTTTCACCCTGTGAAAAATTCACTATCATTCTACTAAAACTCTTGTGGTTTGTAACTCCTCACACAAAGCTGGTAATTGTTTCCATGGGCTAAAATCAAAGGCACAGGTGTTTGTGACTCTGCCATGGTCTCTGAGCCCCTTGCCAGGGTCTGGAGCCCTCCAGGGCAGTCAGAGGAATGTCCTGGGTCAGGACTGAAGGCCCTTGAGACAATAGCTCATGTTTAGACTTACATGTTCTTTATTTCTTACCTACGTCACAGTCTCACAGTGAGTTCTGCAGCCTTTCATTAACCAGGCACAAAATGGCCAACTATCTCTTGGTACAAGGTCTTTTAAAGCTAAACTGTCCAATTAAGGAATGACACCTAAATTATTTTTACTTTTAGCCCAATAATTCAAAGTCCGAAATATTGCCATTAAATCTAATCATAATCATCCACCTAACCACTGTGTCCTACCTCTCCTGCCTGGCCAAGAACCTTCCTCCTACTACTCCTGACTCACACTTGGAGTTAAAAAGTCACATGGAACTTTTAGGAGTTATTTTAAAAGTTAGTTTGCATATAGGACTATTGTTTTAAGGGCATGACATTTTACATTTTAATTTTTGACACCTGAATTGCAAAAGCAAAACATTTTGCTTCTCTTTCCAGCTTATCACAAGAACAGCTTTTCCACAGCCAAAGGAACTTCACTGTCCACTTCACTTCAGCATTAAGGAGTGAATTCCTCTTTTGTTCTGAGACCCAGGTATTTTCTGAAGAAAAATAATACGATCTTTAACCCCAAAACACAAATTGCCACATTTACTGCTGCTACAGGTTATCCTGGCTTTACTTCAACAGAATTTGGGAAACACACAATGTCATTCCTGGTGGGTTTGTGATTTTGGTAAGGTAGACAATTGTTTTGCACAATACTGGCAATTTTTTTATTGTTTTATAAGCTGAAGAGAAAAGAAAGTTTAGCCATACCAGGAAATAATTCTACCTGCCTAAAAATGAGCGCATTTTTGCTTTTTAACCAATTTATGGTTAAATAATGTCACTGAGGAGTTTTTACAGTTGTCTTCTAGTCAAGAGGAAAAAATAGCAATTTTTTAAAAATAGTAACAGGAAAGTAAAAAGAAAAACCCAATAGTACTCAAAGTAATTTAAAGTCTTAAAAAGTAACAAGAGTGTATTTGCAAACTTCCTTGCTGAAGTGACAAGAATTGCTCGTTATTAAAAATTTACATTTTTAGGTGGAACATACTCACAATTAAACCCCTGGAAAAGCTCTGAGGGCTGCAGGAATGGGCAGCATTACCTTTCTCATTGTTGTAGCGTGGCCCCCTGTGACTCTGGGGGTTTGCAGCATTTCCAATCTCATCCTTCCGACGTGCCTGGGTCACCTGAATGGCTTCCAGGTGCAGCTCTAAGGTCCTGGAGATGTTCCTGTGCAGGGGAGCACCACAGAGCCTCTCCATTCTTCCAATCAGGGCAAGCACCTGGCAGAAAACTCAAGTTATTGTTTCATGTCCTTGCTTGCTGTACAAATGTATCTTTTCTACTTTCAGACTTTGCAGCTGCTCTAAGTTCTCTGCTCTTTCTGTTCCTGAGGCCTGCTTTCACAATTTTCTTAAATTCTTATCTTCACTATTTCCCACTCTCCCAAATTTAGTAAATACCCTCACAAAGATCAAACAGCAACAGCACATCCCTTCATTATACAGAAACCTCTCCCCATATGAAAGATGTACTGTCCCAGTAGGGAGCAAAACTTGAAGCAGATCTTTAATAGAGACCATGTCAAAACCCATCATTCCACAGAAAACTAATAACCCCATTTAAATTAATCAGTAAACTTTATCAAAAAACCCTCCAAAACCTAAGCACCCTTGAAAATTTAGTAAAACAACAATTGCAAAAAAATCACATCACACCCACAAACAGTCCTGTATTTATCATCCACAAAAAGACTTCTAACTCCTAGAGATTACTTCATAACCTAAAGAAAATCAAGAAAGCAATCAAAAACATGACACCCCTCCAACTAGACTTCCCTATCAATAACTCCAAGAAGCTAACCTCTGGTTAGCTTCAATTTCAAAGACTATTTTCATAGTTTAAAAGACAATTATATTTTCATCAATTGAAAAGAATATTTTTATAGTTTAAAAGACAACTATTTTAATCAAGTTAAAAAGGCTGTTTTCTTAACATACCACTCCATCCAAAAAACCACCCCAAATTTCACCTTTTCAGTTCACAGAAATCACAGAATCACTAGTTGGAAGAGACCTTAAAGATCACAGAGCCCAACTCAAGCCCCAACACCTCAACTAAACCCCAGCACTGAGCTCCACTGATCAGTTCCAACTGTCAGGGAGCTTAACTATCAGTTCCAAAAGAGAACCACTGCCAAACCACAAAACCCCCTGAGGCTGATGAGTAAACAAACAAATCCCAGATTTGCTGATAAATAAACAAACAAATCCCAGGAGAAGTGCAGGAGTGCAGGCCTACCCGGGTGCGCTCACGGGCCTGGTCAGTGAGCAGGCGATCCACGCGGGATGGAACCCAACCACCAGTTCCAACTATCAGCCAAAGAGAACCACTACAAAACCACCAAACCCACTGCAGCTGATGAATAAACAAACAAATCCCAGATTTGTTGATCAATAAACAGACAAATGCAAGAGTGCAGGCATACCCGGGCATGCTCATGGGCCTGGTCAGTGAGCAGGCGATCCACGCGGGATGGATTCACAGGGAGCCGTGGCACAGGGCTGGGGTTGGGCTGCCCTGGGAAGTGCTTTGCAAGGTCAGCTTCAGCCTGAAAGGGAAATAATTTGTCAGTGTGATGGTTTGAGGTGAGTAGAGGGTGCTCAATCTGGTTTTGGCGCCGTTTGGAATTTTCAAGCGGATTAGGAGTGAGGGCCCGATCGGCTTCTGAGGGCATTGACAGAAAAACATTCCCAAATATCACAGGATCCCAGAGTGGTTTGGGTTGGAAGGGATCTTAAAGCTCATCTTATTCTACCCTCTGCAATGAACACCTTCCACTACCCCAGGGTGCTCCAAGCCCCATCCAACCAGGCCTGGGACACTCCCAGGGATCCAGGGGCAGCCACAGCTTCTCTGGGCATCCCATGCCAGGGCCTGCCCACCCTCACAGGCAGCAATTCCATCCTTTTTCCATGAGGAAAACACTAAACCACTGTTGGTTTAATCCCAAACTCCCTGAATGTGAATTTGCAAGAGAATGATTTGGGTTGAGAAAGGACCTGCAAACTTCCACTATCCCAGGGTGTTCCAAGCCCTGTCCAGCCTTGGACACTTCCAGGGATCCAGGGGCAGCCACAGCTTCTCTGGGCACCCTGTGCCAGGGCCTCACCACCTTCACGGCAAAAATTTCTTCCCAAATCTAATCTAATCCTGCCCTCTTTTGGTTTGAAGTCATTCCCCTTGACCTATCACTACATGCCCTTGACAGAAGTCCCTCTCCAGCTTCCTTGCAGGAATATTTCTCTAATTCTCCTCTCCCTCAGAGTTCAACACCTCTTACTGCTTCTCTCAAATGTCACATATTATGATTAAAAAAAAAAAACAACAAAAAAAATAAAACCAGGTGATAACAGCAGCATAAATCACATCTCAAGTGCATCAGCATGAACCCACATTTAACATAAACTGATATCAGCTCTTTAAGCCAGAAGATATTTTTCTTTAACAGAGAAAATCTTTAACACAACAGCCAAACTTCCACTGAGAAAGAGTGGCTTAGCCAGGGTCTAACACAGACAGTGACTAAACATCACCAAACATATTTTTGCATAGGAAATTCTTACACTTGAGTAAAAAAGACACAGCTAACAGTAGATTCCTTATCTCATTCCTTCTCCAGGGTACCATGGATATAAGAGAGAGGGGTCAGGTGCTGCACTCAAGTCTAAGTCCATGCTGTGCATATTTGTACTAAAAGTATGTGGTGAAGTCCTCCTCTTTTTGCTTTACCTGCTATTATTTATTATTAGTATTACTTATTATTATTTAGTCCCTGTCCTGACCTAAGATGGATTACAAGAGCTGACTCCATCTGTATTCATCACCTGAGGAGCCTGAACAGCATCCAGAAAAAAAAAAAAAAGGGATGGAGAAAAGGTTATGGATTCACATAATGGCACCAGGTAATTAAGAATTACATTTAATAAGCAATTAAGTAAACTATGTGCACATTCATTATTGCAGACAATTCCTAACTTGTGGAAATGCTTTAAATGTGAGATCCCCAGAAAAGTGGGGTTTATGAAAGGAGACAGGTAAGCTGTGACCCCAAAGCAACTGCAAGGAACAAGTTTCAGAGAGCTAAAAGGGCTGAGTGATTAAACAGGGTAGAGAGATAATTACATCAAATACCAGGTGGAGTTTCTCTCTCCTTCTCTCTCCTGAGGAATGTGGTTTGCCTGCAGGAATGGGAGCCAGGCTATGGCTTGAAGGACTGAGAACAATTTCTAATCTGTAACCACAGACCACCCTGAGAAACCCAGAGCAGCTCACTGGGATAAAACTGGAATGGACCACAGCAAGGGGTCAACTAAGCCCCTTTGATTAATAAGGATAAGGATAAACAACCCTCCTTTCATGATGAAATAAAAAGCAGGACACAAAAACTATGAGTTGGTCTTTGCAAAAAACTTAATTGTCCTAAATCCTGCCTGAGAACAGGAGACAAGCACTGGATCAAGAACCATCCCTTTCTCACTTCCAGAGCATTCCTGGAAGGCCAGACAGGCAGAGAGGAGTCTTATTTGAAGGCACCCATGAGAGAACAACACAGGCACCTCCATTCACAATTCCAGAGGTCCATCAGCAAGGCCCCACAGCTGATGATGGAAAGAAAAAGAAGTTTTCCAGGTCAAGCCTGCTCAGACACCTTTATCCAGTGATCAGGAGGCTTGACACACGTGGGAGTAACACCCAGTGCATAACTGGAACCAGGGATTAGGGACAATTTATTTTCTGAGACCTGGCATGGAATTCAGGTATTTGACTCCTCTTGGGAAAGCTCTTCCTCCCTCTTTGGAGCACAGAGTTTTCATTCCCAAGTGCAATACCCTCATTATCAGTGTGATGCTCCCCCTGCCAACAGTTCTGGAAGTGAGTCTAAAGCAGGAAAATGACTGTAATGAGAGGAGCATAAACTGAAATTCCCTTTGGAAACAAGAAAAATATTGTAGGCTTTCTCTACAGACACACAGAGAGTGCCCAGGACTATATACTTCATTTTCTTTCTTACTACAGCCAGAGATTTACTACAACGAGAAAAAAACAAACAGAAGAGAAAGCTGTGACTGTATCATGGACAGTAAAAACCAAACAAAAAAACAAACAAAAGCAACCCAAAAAAAGGCCAAAAAAACCCAACAAGCCAAAGAATAAACACCATAAAACTTTCTCTCTTAAAACCAGCCAAGTCTTTTTCAGAAATCACCACCAGCTGTGTTTTACCTCCTTCCTCTCCTTCTCCAAAGCTCTCCACTGCTCGTGGCACTCCTCCAGGCGGACGTGGAGCTCGTTAGCGGGGCCACTGCGGCTCCTGGGAGGCCTGAACTTGTTAAATGGGGCTGGGAAGGCAAAGCAGGGGGCAGGGATTTCCCCAGGGGAGAGATCACCCATGAAGGGACTCAAGGGGGTGAAGTCGTCGCAGTGAAAAAGATCAACGAGGTCTGAGAATGGAAACGGCGGCGGAGGGAAACAGAAAGGGTTTGCTGGTGGAAACAGTTGGTGATTAAATGGAGGGAAGCTGGGATTTGGTTTAAAATCAGACGGGAATGGGAAGGAAGGAAGCAGAGAAGGATTGATGAAATCTGACAAGCTGCCACCGCTCTGCTCGTGCTTTTTTGGAAACGCGCTGAAAGGCTGGTGGTGTGGGGCCGTAGATCCCAAACGAGGGATCCAATTCCTTCTGCCTCTTCTGTCATCTTTACTGCCACTTTCCTGGCTCTGCCTCCTTGGGAACCTGTGGTATTTCTCAGCATGATCTTCACCTGCAGCTTTCTGCTGCCCGAGCCAGTCGGGTGAAAATCGAACGGGGAATTTGCGTCGCCGCCCGTCCTTGCGCACCCCAGCATCCTCCTGGGACCTTCCAACGAGTCTCATCTGCTTCCGGCTCTCTGAGATGAAATGAGGAACCCCAAAGTGACTGGAAACTCCATTTGATGTCTGTAACCTCCCATTTTTCCTGGGAGGGAGGGTGGGTAGGAGCTGGGAGTAGAAGGAGGGCTGTGTGAAAGGCTGGTGGGTGGGAGAGCCCCCAGACATGGTGGAAACCCCTGATGAGGACTGGGGGCTCGTTGCCATTTGTTTTCCATATGGAATTTCAGATGCAGCAGCTGCCAGACTGTTCCCATCCAGCCATGCACACCCCTGGTAGGAGGAGTGATTCCCATTTTGCACAGTGTTTTTCACAGATAAATCATATTCAGCTGCTTGAGGAGAGCTTTCCTTAGGGCCCATATTCATCTTACACTCATTATTATTATTAAAAGCATCCCCCACAGTAAAGCCACAATGGCCATTTTGCACATGGCTTTCCTGGGGTTTTCTGCCTATTTCTCCAGAAAATGGATTTTCTTTAGGGGATGGGTAGAAAAAATGAAGGGATGGTGACTGCAGTTTGTGAGCAGCTGGGAAATTCTCATATCTCTTAGAGAACAGGTGGCTGTCCTGGGGTACTTTATCCCAAGAGTTATCACCAGGCTGATTGGAAAGATCAGGGGAATACTTAGCTTGTCCTTGAGCATTATTTTTCAGAGCTTTTCCTCTTTTCCAAAACTCCTTCTGGGCGCTGGGGCTTTCTTTCATCCTGTTCCGAGCAGAAAATGGGCTAAAACTGGACCCACATTTTTCATAATCTCCATTTAACCTCCTGTGGTCATAATGCTGGTTGCAGCCCCCATTTGGGAAGGAAAACCCTTCCTGGGGAGCTGCGGTGCTGTTCTGCAAGGAGGAATTTTCAGGGTTCTTCAGGGCATTGCTGGGATGAGCACAGGGAGAGAGCCAAGACTCGAGGAGCTGAAGGTCCCCCAAACCTCTGTGCAGCATCTCCACCTCAGGAGGCTCCTGCAGGGGTTCCTGGGGGCAGCTGGAGCCCAGCAGGGTGGGAAAATCCTTGGTTTGGACCCAGTGCTGAGCTGGCAGCCCTGGGAACTCCCCGTTGCTGCCCAGATCAGGTGCCCACACAGGGGGGAACAAACTCGATAGAGAATTCCTGGAACAGAGTTAAACCAACCTCCCGTCAGGATTTAAATCATTTCTTGCTTTAAAATAATTCACACATCATGCACAGCTCTCCTCAAAAACAGGAGGAATATTCCCACTGCAGCTGAGCAAGTGCTCTGTGAAATCTCATCACCCACATTGTTTATTCTGCACGCTCAGAAATGCAGCGTTTATTTGGATTTATTAAATATCTCAGATTCCACTGTATTCTGTCAACTCTCTACTGGTTAAAATTAATTATATTTTTCCCCCTCTTCAAATGCTGTAAAGCTGATGGAAAACTTGTTAAAATTTGCATTTTTAACAGCTCGGTATTGTTTTTTATACCGGCAAATGAAGTAAAAACACTTCCACATTTTAAGGGGATTTGAAGGGCTGTCATTACTCAAATTAATTAATTAAAAATCTCTATCATATATGTGTGACAATGGGCATAAAAACCAGCACAGGAATTGTAAGAATCATCAAAACAAACTCACCAATCTGTAGCTGGCTCTGGCTTGTTTGGCTCCTCTAAAATGCTCGACACCAACCCAAACACATCAGGGCCATTGCCAGAGTAAGAAAGATTTATTGGTGCCCTGAAAAAAACAAAACAAAACAAAAAAACAAAAAAAAAACCCAGAGTAAAAGTGTTAAGTAAGTAAAACCTAAAGTTTTCTCCTAAACAAAACAGGCAAAAAGCAGCATTTTTTTAGTTCTGAATTTATTGTATCCTCAGCATCCCTCTACAGAAATCCCTTCCTGCATTTGTGAATTCTACAGCCCAAGAGAAGTAGAATTATTTTCTTTTTTTACCAGAGACTTTCCAAGCGCCAAAAATTCTCCTCTCTTTCCAAGAAAAAAAAACTGTTTCATAAACATTCCTTCAAACCTTGATTGTCTTGTTTAGAGCATAAATAGAATCACTATTCTCAAAGTCTGGAGCACTCTAATTTACCTACTGCCAAATAATTCAAAACTTATTATGTAATTTCCAAAAAAATAATTTATTCGTAAGGTATATATACTTGAACCACTTTTCAATCCCCTTCTGGACAGGTCAAAATTTTACTAAATATTTCTGGTAAACACTCAAGGCTTCCAACAATTTTTAAACAAACCCAACTTTTTACCTGAGGTGCAAGATTAGATTTTCATGGAGTTGTTTGTAATGACTCCTGACTCTTCCTCATAATTGAATTACAAAGCTCTCCTTCTCTCTATCCTCATTATTTTGCTCCAATAAACTTCCCTTCCTTCCTCACCTTTCAGGGTTCTTGAAGATTTGAGATTTTCTGGTCCCATCTTACCCAAGCCCCCTTGGCTGCCACACAATTGCTCACTGACTTTGCTGATTAACAGAGATCATAAAATTGGGACAAACTCATAAAAAAATCACATTTTTAATCTCTTGCCACTGTGAAAATCGGTGAAAATCACACTCTGGTGGCTTTTCAGATCTCACCAATTTCACCTCTAACTCAGTCCCTGATTTACCCCATGACTGCCCAGTTTCTTCTCTAAGGGACCTGGATTTAATTTAGGATGCTCAGAAGTGCAAAGACTCTTGAAAATGTTCTGGGAATGCAGAACTGATATTTGATAACCAGATCTTCTATGTGCTTTGGCCAAATAGCAAAGTTTTTTCTTTTCTTTTTTTAGGGAGGCCTCAAGGAATTCTGAATATCCACAGGCTCAGAATGGGTGCAGACATAGATTAACTCCAATTCCATAACTTTTTTGGTTTTTAAAGCTACTTTGTAATAATCCAAAGGCTGATTTAAGAAAATATATTTTAATTAGCAAACTGCCACTCCTTGATTAAAATTAACTCTCACAGCTGACACCAAAGCTGTGTGATCTTTTACTCAAAAATAAACATCATTCTGACACTTCTCACTGAAAACCAGTAAAAAAAAAATAAGGTTTCTCACAATCCATGTATTTCTTTAACTGTTTCCTTTCAGCACCTTGTGAGCCAGTATACTCCACTTTTTCCCCACCTCAGAGTTTGCCTTTCTTATTAAGCAAATGATACAAAACATGCAGTGAGTTATTAGAAATGCTCATTAAAAGGACATTTTCTCATCAGAAGCTGCTGTGTCAGTCTCTATCACCCAATAAAAGTCTCTATCACCCTCCAAAGAAGGCAATATTCTGTCACCATCACTTGGCTTTAGGATGGAAAAAAAAAAAAAAACCCACACACCTTTTTCACAACCTCAGTAATAACCACCACAGAGCAAAGAAAACCTGCTGAGTTTTCAGAGATGCCTGAAACTCTCCCAAAAAAATATCCAGAATTTGTTCTGTAACACAAGAAGTGACCCAGCAGCCCCAAGGCCCCAGCAGGGATGCTGATACCTTTTTTTTGGGCACTCCTGGAAGGCCTTTTGGGATCCAAAATCCTCAGCACACCCCAGCCAGTCCCTGCACAGCTGGGAGGGCTCTGGGGGCGTGGGGGCACTGGGGGCTGCTCCCAGGAAGGGGGAGAACAACTGGGTGTCCATGGTTTGCCTCCTGCATGGAACAGAGCAAAAAAAAATGTTATTTAATATTATATTTAATATTAGATGTTCATCCAGTGAGCAGGAAAGGCAGCAAAGCAAAGCTTTGGCTTTTGTTTCCTGAAATAAATGAATTTTTCAGCACTGCGTAACGTAACCACAACAAAAGGATCAAGTCTAAATCATGTCCCCTCCCTTGCCTTAAACTAACCCAAATCTGCCCTCCAAAAATAAATACGCATAAAATAAATGCAATAAATAAACAGAGTTGACTTACTGCACAGCAATAGGAATTCTCCACAGGTTTCACATTTTAGGTGTTGGTGTGGCACCTTCACAGCTCTATGAGACTGGGAATGCACCTGTGCCAGGCAAACACATCCCCTCTGGAAAACAAGAGCCATCATCCCTGTTATACCCCAAAAAACACAAAATATTCCAGTGAAGAAGGGAGAGGCATCTGGGAACTCCACAGAGCAAAATGTGGGTAAAGAAAAGTAACCCAGTACTGCTGCAGAAAGGAATATTACAAATAAATTATTTTTTCCAAGGTTATTTATGCCAAGAAAGACTGGAGCAGATGATATCTGAGGCCTCTTCAAACCTGGAATTCTCTGAATTTAATTTACTATTAATCCTTGGCCTACTGAAGGCTGTCCCAGACTCAGATCTCCATTCCTGGAGATTTTCTGAAAAGGTTGGGCAGAAATATTCTCTGGTCATGTGTGTTTTTACCAAGAGCAGGGCAGAACAACTCTGCAGTGAATAAATTTATTTTAAATAAATAAATAAAAACTTTACACAAGTTTATCACTTGCTACAAACTGATTTTGCACACCCAAACCAATCCCTATTAAATAACAAAATTAGAGGCATTAAGACCCCAAGGAGACCACACAAATATCCTGCAAAATTCCATATAAACAGCACGGAACATATGAACAGCCTGGCAGTATTTATTTAACCAAATATTAGGTTAAATAAATGCTAATATTAGGCCAAAATCCCACAAGAATTTAGCAGCACACCCACAGCCCCGGTCCTGTTTGGGCTACCAGGGAGCAGCAGACAGAGAAATTCCTGCTCCTTGGCCAGAGAATAAAATACTTGTGCACAGATTAAAAATAGGATGTGTAACAAATGGATTTATGTTTTATTTCCAGAGCCATTCATCACTGCTGATGGGAGCTGTGTCTAAAGCCCAGGAGAAGAGGGACTTCATGTACCCTAGATAAGGCTCAGTGCTTCCAGAACACTGGAGCCTGTCCTTCCCCCCAGGCAAACACCGAATTCTCCTCAGGGGTTTACATAGGAACCACTAACAAGTTACAGGAAAAAAAAAAAAAGGGGGGGGATGGAAAATCAGAATTAAAGAGCAATTAATTAAATGCTGCCTTAAAAAAAAAAAAAAAAAAAAAAAAAAGAGGGGGAAAAAAATCAAATTATTTAGTTTATTCCCCTGCAAATTCCAGGAAAGCCACTGGTCCTAATAAATCACCATCAAAAACAACAATAAAAAACTACATCTAAAGCCCAGACAGGTGTTTTGGACTAATTTTTTCATTCAAACAGTGAAGGAACAGACAAAAAAAAACTATTTACCAAAACCATTCACTATTTCCAAAAGCCTCAAGCAGTTCCTTGGACTTAAATTCTCTGCCAAAGTTTCTTTTGAGGAGAAATACATGAGCACAACCTCATCAGTAAAATGTTAATATTTCAGGTATAAATTTATGCAAATTAAATAGCATCAAAGCTATTAGACATTGATATTGTTGTGGTATCTGTGACAAGAAAAAAGGAGAGATTTATATCAGATATTAAGAGAAAGTTGTTTCCTGTTGGGGTGGGGTGGCCCTGGCACAGATTCCAGGAGAAGCTGTGGCTGCCACATCCCTGGAAGTGGCCAAGGCCAGGCTGGAGCAGCCTGGGACAGTGGGAGATGTCCCTGCCCATGGCTGGGGGTGGAATGAGATGATTTTTAAGGTCCTTTCCCAAACCATTCTGGGATTCTGTGATCTGCAAGATCAGTGAAAGATGTGTCCGAGACATTTTCCACATAGAGGCTTCTCCGAGATGGGCAGCTGGAAACAGAGACCTGAACCCTGTGAAAATCCTCTCTCAGCCAGGATTCCACAGCAGGACACTGGTTGGAACTCTGATTATTGAGAATTTCAGATTTCTGTGCTGCCAGGCACTGACCCCCAAGAGAACACTGCACTGACCTGAGGCCGTGGAGAAGCTTCCAAAATGGAATGACAGAACTGGGATTGTGGGTGTGGAGTTTGGATAGAAGTGTGTGATATCACAGGGTGGGAAACTCAGAGTTTAAGGGGTTAGAATAAAGTAATGGATATAAAGCAAGATGGAGGTTTTGGGGTGGAGGCTGGTCCTTCTTCTTCCTGCCTCCTCCTTCTCCTCCTTCTTCTCCCTGGGTTTGGGTGGTTTTGTGTAATTGGATAAGAAGTCCCCATTGCAGCCATGGGTGGTTGGTTATTGGGTTAAAAGTCAAAATAATTGAGGTGTCATTTCTTAATTGGACAGTTGATCCTTCAAAGGCCTTGCAGAGAGAGAGATGGGGCTCCATTTTTAGTTTGTTGGAGTGAAGTGCTGCAGAACTCAGGGTTTGTGAGAGTGTGACAGAGATAAGAACTGATAAACATCTGAGCCCCAACAAGAAATTCCATCTCACACATTTAATCCTGACCTTTGCAGAAAAGAAGTAAAAGAATTGACAGACGCTCCCATGTTGCTCCTCACCACTGGAAGGGTTTTGCTCCCTTTGGTTGTCCAAAGCCCTGGCAGCAGTTCCAGACTCGTGGCTGTCATTCCAAGATGCCAGGAGCTGCTGGCAGAGCATGGGAGATTCCTTGGGCCACCTGGAAGGAGTTTTAGGAATTTTCATGGAGAATCCTAAATAATACCAGGGTTATGAACATCTGGGGGACTGGAACAGAATGATTTGGGTTTGGAATGGACCTGCAAGTTCCACCAGACCAGGCTGCTCCAAGTCCCAATGTCCAACCTGGCCTTGGGCACTTCCAGGGACCCAGGGGCTGCCACAGCTGCTCTGGGAAGCTGCTCCAGGGTCTCACCACCTTTAGGAAGGATTTCCTCCTCTTTAGATGTCAGAAGAGCTTCTGGCTCATATCAGATTAAGAGTTCTCTCAGAAGATATTTTATAAGCTGAAAAATAACCTGACCACAGCTAAATATTGCTCCATTGTACAATCAGAAGAAACTGCTTTCACTGACATGAAATCCCACCTGACAGAGCTCTTGATTTTCCAAAAAAGCATTAAAATTAGCCAAAAGCCTTTTTAGAATCAGTTATCCTAAAGCTGCAGGATCTCCCTGCCCCAGAGCACTGCAAGAACATCCCTGATAACAACAGCAAATAACAGCACTGCAGCATTATCACACCCACACTGAGGGGATTCTGCTCTCATTCCTTGGCAGGGGAAGGATTTCCTGTTTATTCCTTGGGTTTTGTTTCTTGGCAGGATAAAAAAAGCATAAAAACATGCTGTTTTGTGGCTTTTTGAAGATTTTTAATAACTCTCACCTATGGATATCTTAATCTGTAGCACACGGGGACTGCCTGACTCATTCAGGGTGCACTGCCAGGGATTCTCTGGGTAAAAAAAACACTGGGTAAAAAAATAAAGTAAAAAAACCCAAAAAACCACAACAAACCAGAAATCCCTAAATTTCTTTTTTGGGTTTCCCAGGAAATGAACCAGCAGAAGTAAACAGGCAAAAAGAACATGTAAAACACCAAATTCAGGGAAGAAAATAGGTAAGTTATTCAGACCTCTTAATATCAGGGATAAAACTATAAAAATAGCAGATTACTGAAGACTTCCCTCTAAATCCTGAACTCACATCACCAAAAAGATTTGTTGCAGCAGCAAAAGGAAAGGATACTTTTCAGCAGACAAAGAATCAAGAAACTTTTCTTTCTCAAAGGAAAAGGACCCAAGTCTGCCAGACTCCTTTTAGCTGGGTCAAAATCACCTTAAAAGAGCACATTTTAAGGAGGGGGAATAAGGTGTCTGTGTGGGAATAAAAGTGAATAAAATCAATTTTAAGGTGTGTGTGGGAATAAATAAATAATAATAAAAATAATAAATTAATAATAATAAATAAATTAAATTAATAAATTTATGAGGTGCTTGTTCAATACATGGGTTCTGTTGCCCAATTACAATTAAGAATATTCACAGGCTCACAGGCCATTTGTTTATTTTGTTTTAACACAAGAACCTAAATATTCATTTTATACCAACAAAGATTTTTGGGTTTGTTTTTATTTTTTTGGGTGCATGGAAACTTCCAGCAGTTGTTCTTCAGGACTTTGTGATGAGTCTGACAAAGCCAAGAAGAGCTTGGGAGGATCTGCTGGATTTCCATCACCAGAGGATGACTCTGACACAACCAGGGAGAGCTGCTCCACCTGGGATGCAACATTCCCTCCAGGTGCTGAGGTTTTATGTGACATGGTTATTCACTATAAAACAAACCCCTCAGCCAAGTTTTTTTATTTCTGCTGCCCTGCAAAAGCTCAGTTTTGGGCTCACCTGTGGCCGGCACTGCCCAGGGGTGGCACTTGGACCACGTCCTTGTCATCAGCACCCAGGTTCTCTCCTCTGGAGCGAGCAGCATCGCGTGCAGGCTGGAATCACGGCTCCCAAGGAACAACTTCTCCTGTTAAAAGCAACAAAAAAACCCAAAAAAAGCAGTTACCAGGTCTGTCAAAGCTGTATTTATACACAAAACTCATTTCTAGCCTCCCCTCATCTGCTCCTCCAGTCCAGTTACTGCGTTAAAAGTGAAAATAATTGAGGTGTCATTTGTTAATTGGACAGTTGATCCTTCAAAGGCCTTGCAGAGAGAGAGATGGGGCTCCATTTTTAGTTTGTTGGAGTGAAGTGCTGCAGAACTCAGGGTTTGTGAGAGTGTGACAGAGATAAGAACTGATAAACATCTGAGTCCCAACAAGAAATTCCTTCTCACACATTTAATGCCAGCCCTGGCAAAAAAAGAAGCAAAGACTCCACATCCCACTGTGGCTGATTCCCCCCATCCTGCAGCACCAAATCACCAAGGATTTGGCTGATCTGATGTCCAACCTGGATTTCGCTCCCAGAAATGGGATCTCACCACACCAACCTTTTATCAGCTGTTTTTCTGTCAAGGCACCCCTCACCGTACACATTATTGATCTGGTTAATCATTACCTCTGTGCCACAACCCTTATTTGCAACTTCAGAAGTAGATTTCAAAAGCACTCAGGGATATCCTGAAGCCCAAACAACAATCCATTGATCCCTCTAAAACAGGAATTCCCTGAAATCATGGGAAACTCCCAAACTGTTGCAGGTGCTGCATTTGGAATTCACAACCCACACAAGAGTACAAGTGAAGCTTAAAATTCACACAGGTGCTCAAAAACAGCTTTGGGTGCTGCCCTTGTGCTCCAGCCTCCCAGAGATAAATATATTTTCCATCTGTGGCTGCCACAAAGAGATGCTTCTTGCACTAGTGGGAAATAAAAAGGGGATTTCAGAAGGAAATGGGGAAGGCCTGAGAACTTCCAACCACATTACAAGCTCCAGAATCAGGTGCCAGGTTTGAAGACCCACATTTCCCTCTAACACATCTTTTTTTTTTACTTATTTTATATTTAGGCCTGCTTTACAAAGCTACATGGCAGAAAGGTTTTGGGGATAAGAGGTTCCAACCAGCTCCTCAATTCCATCCCTGAAAGAAGGCAGTGATACCTTTGACAGGTGCCTCTTTCTGAGCCAAAAACCCCCACCCAAACACACAAATCATTTCTGCAGCATTTCTATTAAAGCCTCTAATTCATAACCTCTCTACTGACTGAAATTCTTGCTTTAATTAAAAAAAAAAAATTAATAATTTGCCAGCAGATAGTTTAGAAACAAAGCCCTGCTCAGACATGTTCTTAAACCATTTCAAAAAGTTACTAATATTGTTTTTAATGATAGATCTTACACCTCTACACTCCTGATTGTTGCCCAAAGCCACAAATACTCTGAACACTTCACTCCCACTATTTCTAAGTGTTTCACTCTGAAGTTTCACCTTTTTTAAATGCAGGCTACATGAAAATAAAGGGGAATGGAATTCACCTTCACTTACAATTCCTGCCACATTTCACACTCCATTATCTCCTGGAAGTGCCAGGATACACAAGGGAATATTAAACAAACAGGTAATGAGATTTTACTGGACTTCCACTCACTTTAATGACAAATAATCCAAAGGCACCACAAGTGCCTGATTTGTAGATAATGTCCTGTGCTGTAAAATAGGATTATTGGTACTAAAATAAACCTTTTTGTTCAGGAATACAAAATCCTAGCTGGAGTTACAAAATATTTCTCCCAATTCATTCTGACCTATCCAGTACAGTTCAAATTCTACTAAATCAAACTCTTTCCAAATATATCTTAAAGTGCACAAAAATGCTGAAACTATCCATTGCTGAATGGGGAAAACCCACACTTACTGAAGTTACAACTGCTGTAACATGTGGACAAATAAACAGAACTTTTAAATCAGCTGAGCAGAGATCAGGACACACTAAATATTAGATAAAAGTTTGTGTCTTAATTTCATTAGACTATTTGAATTAGATATAAAGCCACTTTTCTCATTTGATTTCCTCCTCCCTTTGTGAAATTAAAGTCATAATTAGGTGTCCTCAGGGCTTCAGATTGGAACAAAGCACTGTCACAACATCCCTTCAAACACCTAAACCGTTTCTAAAGAGAAACAGACAATGCTTTTGTTTTATGCTTTCATTACCTGGTTGGGAAGTTACTACACATCTCAAGATGACAGCAAGATTCTCAAATTTCCTATTCACTTCGAGAAAAACTTTTATAGCCTCCTGCTAGGAGGCTCTGGAGCTCAGCACCACGAGATAACTGGAGAAATCTGAGTTTTATCAGCACTGGTATCAAATAACCACCTGAAAGCTCTGAGAAATCTGAACACTACCAGGACTGAACACTACTAGGAAAGTAACTCACCACACTTTTTTTTAAACTACAGCAATCTCAGCCAACGTTGCTGTGCAGAAATCACTGTAACATCAGCAATCTGATCATGAAATCAACATCAGTATCACCAAAATCAGCAGAAATCAGTATCCTGGGTGGTCTTCCAGATGTTCAAACCACCAGCATCTCTCTGGACACCCTGAATTATCCTCTGGGCAGCTCAAGCAGCCCTCTGGACACCCCAAATTAGTTATCCCCTCCAGACACCACAAATTATCCTCTGGGCAGCCCAAGCATCCCACGGACACCCCAAATTCTCCTTCAGACAGCCCAATCATCCCTCCAGGCACCCCAAATTATCCTTCAGGAAGCCCAAGCATCCCTCCAGGCATCCCAAGTTATCCCTCCGGGCACCCAGAATTAGTTATCCCCACCAGACACCCCAAATAATCCTCGGGCAGCCCAATCATCCCTCCGGACACCCCAAATTATTCTTTGGGCAGCCAGAGCATCCCTCCAGGCACCCTGAACTATCCCTCTATACACCCCGAGTTTGTTATCCCCTCCAGATATCCCGAATTATCCTTCGGGCAGCCCGAACATCCCTCTGGGCACCCCAAATTATTCCTCTGGACACCCCGAGCATCCCTCCCAGGCACTCCAAGTTATCCCTTCAGACACCCCGAGTTAGTTGTAATCCCGGGACACCCCGAATTATCCCTCTCCCCTGGACACCCCGAGCATCCATCCAGGCACCCCAAGTTATCCCTCCGGACACCCCGAGCTTGTTATTATCCGGGCAGCCCAAGCGAGTTATCCCCTCCGGACACCCCGAGTTATCCCCTCCGGACACCCCGAGTTTGTTATTCCCCCCCCGGACATCCCCAGTTATCCTCCCGGAGGCGCAGAAACCTCATTCCGCATCCAGAGCCAACTTGCACCGAGACCAACCCGCGCAGCCACCGGGTCCCACCTGCCATTCCCCGGCTGCTCTCCCTGCCCCCGGCACAGCCCAGCGAGACCGGAGCCGAGCCCGGAGGGGCAGGGGCGGCCGGAGGAGCCGGAGCCGAGCCCGGCGCTGCCGTTCCCCGATCCCGTCCCCGGCGCTGCCGTTCCCCGATCCCGTCCCCGGCGCTGCCGTTCCCCGCTCACCCGCGGTTACCACACGCGCTCCGTTGCCAGGCTATGACAGCAAAGCGCCTCCTCCGCCCTCCCGGAGCCGCGGGACAGCGCGGGAAGCAGCGGGAAAGCCTCGGGAAAGCCCCGGGGAGCGGCCCCGCCGTTGTCACCCCGGTGTCCCCGCGGTGTCACCCCGGGCTGGCCGGGCCACGGAGGCTCCCGGGCGGCGGGGCCGGGTGCGGGGAGGCCCCGGAGGAGAAGGGGGGAAAGCGGAGCTCACATTCGGCCGCTGCCGCTGCCCAGCCAGTCCCGGCCCGGGAGCGCTGATGTCACCGCAGGGCCGGGAGGCGCGGGGACGCTGGGAATTGCAGTCCGTGCCCGAGGATTGGGAATTGCGGACCGTGCCCGGTATCCCGAGATAGGGATTGGGAATTGCGGACTGTGCCCGAGGATTGGGAATTGCGGACCGTGCCCGGTATCCCGAGATAGGGATTGGGAATTGCGGACTGTGCCCGAGGATTGGGAATTGCGGACCGTGCGCGGTATCCCGAGATAGGGATTGGGAATTGCGGACTGTGCCCGAGGATTGGGAATTGCGGACCGTGCCCGGTGTGTCCGAGGATTAGGATTGGGAATTGCGGTCCGTGCCCGGTGTGCCCGAGAATGGGAAATGGGAATTGAAGTCTGTGCCCGGTATCCCGAGATATGGGATTGGGAATTCCGGTCCGTTCCCGGTATCCTGAGGATTGGGAATTGCGGTCTGTACCTGGTGTGCCCGGGATTGGGAATTGCAGTCCGTGCCCGGTGTTCCCGAGGGCGGGATTGGGAATTGCGGTCCCGCTCTCCTGGGGATCGGGAATTGCGGTCCGTTCTCTCCCTCCCGAGGTTTGGGATCGGGAATTGCGGTCTGTTCCCGTTATCCTGAGGTCTGGGATCGGGAATTGCGGTCCGTTCCCGTTATCCTGAGGTCTGGGATCGGGAATTGCGGTCTGTTCCCGTTATCCCCAGGGTCAGGATTCCCCCCTGCCCGCGGGGTTTATAATGAGCTGAGCCGGTTAATGAGGAAACGCTGCCCAGGTGGGAAAGCAGCGCCCGCAGGTTTGGGAAATGCGGCTTCTCCTCCCCAATTAGCGGCTAATTGTGCTCAGGTGATCATTATTCTGTAGTTATATAGAAATACAGACTATTTCCTATTGCACATATATATATATGTATATGTATATGTATATGTATATGTATATGTATATGTATATGTAAAAGTATATCTATATATAAGTATATTAAAGTATATAGTCATAAAGCAAAGTATAATCATAAGTAAATATATTTATTTTAATATATATAAGTATATAAGTATAAATATATAGAGAGGTATGTATATGTATATGTATATGTATATGTATATGTATATGTGTACGTTTACGTATATGTATAAAAGTATATGAGTATAAATATATATATCAAAGTATGTGTATATATGTACATATATTTAAACTATATGTGTATATATAAATTTAAAAGTATA